TTGTAGGTTCCTCTACAACTTCTCGGCGCTATGCTCCATCTGGCAGTCACAGTGGGACGGATAGCCTACAACGACCAAGTTCTTGGTGGACTTGCCCTTTGCCTTCTGACGTCCTGCGTGCCACAGTAAGGCCCCTCTCCGGTAGCGACTGGGTGCTCCTCACTGGTACAGATCTCCCAACCTTGCCTCCCTCTGACCCGACCCCCTCCACCCTCAATGCCTGGCAAACATCCGCTCCGCCAACCGTTGGGCCCTTGGTTTGACCCTATTGACGACTGGAACTGGCTGGTCTCCCCAACGCATGGCGTCTTTCATCGTCATGGACACGCTTGGAGACACTACGGTCACCGATCAGGTTCCTACTCCTCTAGCCTGAGGTTCCACATGAGGTCGGCATCTCACAGGACGGCTGGGATTAAAAGACCAATGGCAGCCCTTGACGTCGCCGACGCCCTCTCGCCGTCGGGTCCCTTTTGGACCAAGCCACTCCCAGATGATGTATGCCGGGCGACAACTCAGCCACTGCATGGGTTAGAGGAGTTTGTGATTTTGGGGGTGGGCCAGGAGCATAAGTCTCCGCGACCAGTTCCCCAACCGTCATTACTCACTGCATGGGAAGCAGCATCAGCAGCAGTTGACGAGTACTTTGGATGGACCCCCGAGGAACTTGAGATTGTCGGTGATGAAGGACGGCTGGTGGAGGCCTTACTCTCTGGTCATCTTTGCGTGATAAGCGACGGATCATACAAGCGAGCCCTGGGAACGGCAGCCGTCCAACTACTCCCACGAAAAGGGGAGAAGGACCGCGTCATTGTCCGGTGCCAGACTCCCGGACTGCCCCAGGATCAAAGCGCCTATCGGAGTGAACTGATCGGCTTGCTTGCAGGCATCATGGTTGTTGACTGGTTGCTCCAACAGTGGGCGCCTAAGCTCCAATCTAAACCCCGCGTCAGGATAGCGTGTGATGGGTTTTCCGCTCTTCTCAATACCTTTGGTGATCATCGAGTCTCCCCTCACCAGGCGCAGTTTGACCTGGTCTCTTCCCTCCGCGAGGCCCTTGCGCGCTCCAAAGCATCGTGGGAGCCTAGTCATGTGTATGGTCACCTTGACCGTGCTACGTCCTTTTTGTCCCTGCCTTGGTGGTCCAAAAGGAATGTTCAAGTGGATAATTGGGCAGTGGCATACCGCCATCAGTTGGAGGCTTCTAACCAACTGATTGCACCCAATGCTCGCTTCTTTACTGAGTTGGCCGCTCTCTACATCGGAGGCGTTAAGCAGTCTTGATTGGATCCAGACTACATCCAAGAGCTGGTTGCGCTTCCCGCCCTCCGCAAGAGGTGGCGCGAGAAACTCACGGTCACCCCAGAGTCGGAGTCGGAAACCGACTGGCCCAGTCTGGCCCGGGCCATGCGATCTCTCCCCGCGGGCGTCCAACGCTGGACCACAAAGCACGTGGTGGGTATGTGCGGTGTCGGCAAGTTTAAGGTACGCTGGGGATATGACACATCTGCTGCATGCCCATGCTGTGGCGAGTTTGAAGATCACCTACACGTACCTCGATGTAGGGCTCCATCCGCCAGCGCTGAATGGGATCGCCAGACAGTGGCCCTGGACTTATGGCTGGACACTCAAGTGACAGATCCGGCCATCAAACATGCCCTCCTCTCCCTTCTTAAAGGGGTTTGCAATCCATCCCTCCCGTCCATTCGAATGGTACCAGGTTGTCTGAGCAGCGCCTTCCGCTCCCAGCAACGCATTGGTTACCAAGGCTTGTTGGAAGGAAGATTGTCCCGCCAATGGGCACCATTGCAGGAGGAATATCTGCAGTCGCGCGGGAGCCAACGCTCTCCGACCTTATGGGCCTCACGCCTCTCGCATCAGTTGATTTTGCTGGGCTTCCAGTTGTGGGAACATTGGAACTCGGTACAACACTCGGAGGACAATGTACAGTTACAAGAGCGCAGCCAACAGGTCAACGACGGGATACACAACCAGTTTGCTATGGGTCCCACTGACCTACCTAAGGTTGTTCAACGCATGCTTTCGGTCAAGCGCCGGACAGTCTTGAACAAACCACTGGTAGACCGTGAGGAGTGGCTGAAGCTGGTGAGGATGGAACGCACGGCCTACCACCGCGCTCTGGCGCCTCAACGCCGTATTCTTCATCGCTTCTTCCACCCTGCGGACCATTCCCCTTGAACAACGTTTCGTGGAAGCAACGCCCCGAAATCACCCCGCCACGCTGCGGGTAGAGTCGGAACCAGCTGGTTCTGACTAGAGCAACTTCTGATTATTCAGACGCCTCACATGGTTCAAACTTGTTGTTGACTCGCCGCTCCACAGTACTTGACCTTTACAGCCAAGTATCCCACCGGCAATCGTATGCGCTACGTAGCATTTAATCGATTAATGTTTCAGTTATTATTATGCCTGGCAAACCTCTGCCGACCTCTGCACAGACTACTATGGGTGGGTCCCTGATGAGATTGAGGTACATGGTGATGAGGCTGCCTTGGCCGATGCCCTGATCCAGGGCCGCCTCAGAATCATCAGCGACGGGTCATACAAAAATGACCTGGGAACTGCTGCTGTTCAGCTCCTTCCCAAAGGGGGAACTGCTTGCATTGTCATCCGTTGTCAAACTCCAGGCCTACCTCAGGATCAGAGTGCCTATCGTAGCAACTTGATTTGCCTTCTGGCTGGGATTATTGCGGTTGACTGGCTCCTCCAACAATGGTTCCCAGCCCTTAGCCAGCGGCCGGGTGTCAAGATCACCTGCGACGGCCTTTTGGCCATTGAAATGGCCTTTGAAGATCAACCCCTTTCACCCACTGATGCACAATTTGACCTGATCTCTTCCATCCGGGAAGCTATCTCTCGGTCTCCGGTGTCTTGGTCTCCACGGCATGTCTACGGACATCTGGACAAGTCCAACTTATTTGATGAACTCACTTGGTGGGAAAAGAAAAACCTGGAGGTAGATGGCATGGCAGTGGATTTCCGCAAGAAACTAGAGGCCGCCCACCAACTTTTCCCCCCAAATCCTCGGTTCTTCACGGAACTGGCAGCTCTTTTTGTGGCTGACACAAAGCAGTCTCGGCTGAGTGACCACTTCATTCAGGAGTGCGTGACACTCCCCCGCCTGCGGCAACACTGGAGGAACCGTAATGTGATCTCTGAGGAGTCTGAAAACCTTATTGACTGGGAGACACTGGGCCGCGCTATGCGGTCACTACCTGCCGGACTCCAGCACTGGATTACAAAACATTGGGTGGGCATGTGCGGCATGGGGAAGTTCAAAGTGTATTGGGGCCTCGAATTATCCGCTGCGTGCCCTCAGTGCGGTGAGTTTGAAGATCACTTGCATGTTCCCGTTGTCCAGCAGCCTCGGCTAGGGACAAATGGGACCGGAGGGTGACCGCGCTCTCGCTCTGGATGGATATACATCTTACCTCCCCCACCATCAAACATGCGATACTCCTTCTGCTTTAGGGTGTTCACGACTCATCATGCCCCCCCTCTTGTTTGATCTCTCGGACCATTCGCCCGGCCTTTCTGGCACAGGAAGCTATTGGGTGTCAGGGACTTTTGGAAGGCAGACTAGCCTCCTTGTGGCTGTCTCTGCAACAAAATTGTTTTGACGAGATTCACAGTCATTGGTCGGTTTCTCTGTGGGCCTCCCGTCTCTCCCAGCAACTCATCTCCACTGGGTTCTATATGTGGGAACAACAGAACGCCGTTCAACATTCGGATGACAATGTTCAGCTCCGTGAACGTCACTGTGTTGTCAATGAGGGGATTCACTCTCAGTTTGATATGGGTTTGCTGATTTACCTCTGGATATTAGACGCATGCTGACATGCCGTCACAGCGTCCTCTGTAAGTCACTGGTGGACAAGGAAGAATGGCTGAAGCTACTTTGACAGGAGCGCAAGGACTATTGTCGCTCTCTGCGGGCTCAACGACGTAGCCTCCGGACAATATTCTCTGCTCCCCCCTCCTGAACGCTTCCCAACGTTTGTGGGACAATAAGGCCACAAATTCAACCTGGATCGCATGCTGAGTGAGTTTCCAGTCAAATTTAAGGACAATGAGATTCAGGAGACACCAGCTGGAAATAATCTACTGGAGAAAGGTAAAGGAGCACCGCTTGAGAAGGAACGGCGTGAAGTGTTCAATTGGTTTGTTGCCAAATCATTATTTTTGTCAAAACTTGCTCCGCTGGATATCAGTCCGACAGTATCAATTTTAGCATCAAGTGTGCAATCTCCAAATCTGAGTGATTGGCAAAAACTAGTTGGATTGATGAGATACATTCATTCTACAAAAGGATGGCATCTGACACTGAGCGCTGATGATTTGCACGTGATTAAATGGTATGTCGATGCACCATTTGCTGTTCATCCAGACTTCAAAAGTCATACTGGAGCTGTGATGACAATGGGCACTGGAGCAGTGCAAGCAATTACACGAAAGCAGAAATTGAATTGTGACAGCAGTACGCATGCTGAACTAATTGGAGTCCATGATGCGATGTCCAATATTTTGTGGACACGCTTATTTATGGAAGAACAAGGTTACCCAATCGAGAAGAATATACTATATCAAGATAACAAGAGTTTGATCCTACTTGAAACCAATGGGAGATCGAGCGCAGGCAAAAGGAGCCTTGCGATAAATATTCGATATTTCTTTGTGACAGATCAAGTTGAATTGGGCAACATTACTATTGATCACATGCCAACTGATGAAATGTGGGCAGATTACATGACAAAGCTGTTACAGGGCAAAAAGTTTTGCAAATTCTGAGCTGTGATTCAAGGTGACCAGGATTAGTCCTGATGAACAATCATTAATATTTTACTTGTATTGAGAAGTAATTTTTTTTCGTTCCATCCACTGGAGTTGCTGGTGAAAGGACAGGAGTGTGTTGGACATATTGATATATTGAGCAATCATATTGGTCGATTATTGATCAATGGTCTATGTGACGTGACGCGGCAATGATGTTAGTGTCAATCGTGCGTAATATGAAACGCAGTATGTCCGAACGAGTCACCACGTAGAAAGGTGATCAAGAGTGAGAATTGTGAGAATTTGCAATATGATCCTGAACTTCAATCGAGAGTCTCACTATCAATTGAGTTCTGGCAAGAATAGTATTGTGGACGTTGAGGTCCAAGCAAGTATAGGAGATAATAAAGTAAGACCTTTGATTGAATAAGACTACTGCTTATTTTTGTTCCATCAACTGGATTCGCTGGTGAAAGGACAGGAGTGTGTTGGACATATTGATATATTGAGCAATCATATTGGTCGATTATTGATCAATGGTCTATGTGACGTGACGCGGCAATGATGTGAGTGTCAATCATGCGTAATATGAAATGCAGTATGTCAGATCGCGTCATCATGTAGAAAGGTGATCAAAAATGAGAATTGTGAGAATTTATAAGATGATTTTGAACTTCAATCGAGAGTCTCACTATCGATTGAGTTCTGGCAAGAATAGTATTGTGGACGTTGAGGTCCAAGCAAGTATAGGAGATAATAAAGTAAGACCTTTGA